CCCCCCCCCCCCTCCCAAGGCAGCCCAGAGCAGCTATTGGGCACTGGGACAATCAAGGCCCTCAGGGGGCAGAGATAGAAGCAGAGGCTTGAAGCAGAGGCTGAAACTGATGGGATCCACCCATAGCCCAAGTTGGGAGGGCAGGTCAAGGTCCAAGAGAGAATGGACAGCAGGACAGGGCATTGTGGACGCCACTCCTGGGGCTTGTAGCCCTAGATAAGCTCTTGTCAGCAGGCAGAGGTGCTTGCAGGGGGCCCCACGCTAATGACCAAAGACCTCCGGCTCCGCTCTGCCTCCGCTCCCGGCGGATGGAAGGGCCACATGCTACTGCCCTGCCCCCCGGTGGAGCCACAAGTTGCCGCGCCTGCCACTTAGCCAAGGCCAGGCTGGCGAGTCCTACCCAGGTGGGGCAGGCACCCCGAGACGGGCACTTCCTGTCCCAGACCCCACACGCGGCCGCACCGCTGCGCATGGCAGGTGCTTACCGAACCCTCCCTTACTGAGGAGCCGGTGAGAAAGGTGGCTGGGCTTTCTGTAAACGGAATCCTCCGTGAGGTATGGGAGAAGCGCGTTCTTCCTGAACATCCTCCCAAGCCCTTTGCAAGCACCAGGGGCTGAGAGTGGCAAAGGACATTCAGAATCTGCTCCCCTGGGTGGTGCGGGGTGAAGAGGGTGGTTTTTGTAGCTTTAGTGACCTGTATGTCATCGGGTAGAGGAGCACAGCCTCTCGGAGCTGCTTCTGTGACACAGGGGGAGGGTGGTGATGGGCGCTTAGTGAGACGCCACTCGGGAAGCTCCTCGCATGTTTGTGGCCTTCAGACACCAGCACCCTTCCCCTCCGTGACGAAGACGCACTGTGCTCACCAGTCACGTGGCCTGAGCAAGCCCCTCGCCTTCTCAGGCCCTGGAGGCTACAGCTGACCGGAAAGTTCCCTTCCAGGGCACCGGGCCAGGGACTGTTTTGGGAAACTCATGACATGAAGTTGTTGGTCCTCGGTTGCTTTGCAGCCAGCTCGAGTTGTCACATCCGGGCTAACACCGGTGGGTGGGTGGGCTTTGGGCTGCAGTTGGCTGACCACAGCCTACCCCGCAGGAGGAGACGGAGGCAGCAGGGGACGAACGCGGGCGCATCCTGCTGTCACTGTGCTACAGCTCCCGGCAGGGCGGCTTGCTGGTGGGTGTCCTGCGCTGTGCCCACCTTGCCCCCATGGATGCCAATGGCTATTCGGACCCCTTCGTCCGCCTGTGAGTGAAGGGGGGACAGGTAGGTGGGCCGTGGGGGCTCCCCAGAGCCCCTCTCCAGGGCCATCCCTAACCTGACCCCATCCTTCCCAACCAGTTTCCTGCATCCGAACGTGGGGAAGAGACGTAAATACAAGACCAGTGTTCGGAAAAAGACCCTGAACCCCGAGTTCAATGAGGTAGGCCGGGGTCCGGTGGAGGCGGTCCCGGCTGCCCCGGGGCGGGGAAGGTCAGCGTTCTGCCTCAGTCAGAAAGCGCAGGTCCCACCTGACCTCACCTGCCTGAGCCTGTTTCTGAACCTGTAAAGGACCTGAGGCGCCCCCCTTCCTGCATTTCTGCCCCCTCCCCTGCAGGAATTCTTTTATGCAGGCCCAAGGGAGGAGCTGGCCCAGAAGACACTGCTAGTGTCTGTATGGGACTATGACCTGGGCACAGCTGACGACTTCATTGGTGAGTGAGAATGCAGGGGAGCGGGCTGGCGGGGGCGGGGGGCGGTGGGAGGGGGGCAGCGGGTTCCGACGTGGCTCCTGATTTCTGCTCCCCAACCCAGGCGGGGTGCAGCTGAGTAGCCACGCCAGCGGGGAACGCCAGCGGCACTGGTGCGAGTGCCTGGGCCGCAGTGACTGCCGACTGGAGCTGTGGCACCCGCTGGACGGTGCGCCCCCCCAGCTCAGCGACTAGAAGGGGTACCCGGCCCGGCCCCGCTCACCACCCTCCCCCAAACTGACCCACAGAGCCGGGAGGACCTGGAGCTGCCTCACCCACCATGCCCAGCCCCACGTCAAACTGTTTGCTCCCTGACCCCCACGTCCAAGTTCACCCCTCTGCCAACCATGAAGAATAAACTTCCAAACCAGGCCACACAGAGCCTGTTCCCTTCGCTGCCCGTCGCCTCACCGGGCAGACTGGGCCCCGTTCTTGCTCCCATCCTCCAGATGCCCACAGAGGGCCAGGCCCAGGGCTGGACCCCAGGCCGCCGCTTCCCCCTCATCACGCTGGGAAGGCCCCGCCCCCGCCCCCTGCACTGAGGGAAGGGCGCTCAGGATGGTCTAGGGCAGACTGACCCACCGGAAGCCAAGCTGTGGGCTCATGACATGACCTTGAGCTGACCTATCCCCCCTCCCCACAAGAGACCCACGTGGCGTATGGGAAGCCCCCCGCTCTGGGACACAGACCTCCTCGAGTAATGGGCCACAGTGGCAGAGCGACGAGAAAGACCACAGAAAAGATGCAGCAGGAGACCGGGCAGCACTCGCTTTATTGTCCAGCCATCTGGACAGACAGACGTCAGCCCAGGGCAGCGGGATCAGGAGGCAGCTTGCCTGGCCTGGTGCTGCCGGGCGAACCCCTGCATCCGCTCCTCGAGCTCTGGCCGGAAGTGGCGGATCAGGCCCTGGGGGAGGGTAGGGGGCACCGTGTGAAGCGGAGCTGAAAATCCCAACGCCCTAGGCTCTCAGCACCCCCACCCTAGTGCCCCACGGCAGGGCAGGGAGTACCTGCACGGGCCAGGCGGCTCCATCACCCAGGGCGCAGATGGTATGGCCCTCTATCTGCTTGCTGATCTCCCAGAGGGAGTCGATCTCGGCCGGCCGGGCATCCCCCTTCAC